TACCTCACCTGTGTGTACTACGTATATGACCTGGTACCCGAGCCCAGGCACCATGATTTCGCACAAAAGGGTTTTGCAGCTCAAATCGCGCATACATAAGAGTGCCAGAGAGCACGCTTAGAAGAAATCAATGCAGCCTGTCTCTCCAACAATCAGTCGGCCACTCGACACAGACACATATTGGGCTGACTATGACGTTTTAATGCATTCTTCAGTTGGCAACCCTCCAGGCAACCGTGCTTAGCTTACCGTAGTAGTCTCAGGCTCGATAATACCTGCAACAGATTAGCCATGAGAAGGAGAGGAGGATCATACTCCCCTTTCACATGGGAGGTGCTGATTGCAAACATATTTTTGTGATATAGATGCTGGTAAGGAGAGATATGTTAATATGGTATAGCCAATGGTGTTCTACCGCAGATTTTAATGGGGACGCATGTAGTCTACAGGTTCTATGTAGTGAGTGAATGTGCGTGGACAGTGTGGACCGTTGAGGCGAATGTGTGTTGTGCTCCTGGCACTGGTTTGCAGGCCTTTGCCTGATGGATTCGCAAATGACTGACCAGGCTGATGCATGATGTGCATGTGCGGCGCCAATGAGGACAGGGTAAGTTGTGGGCCCTCGATTTTGTTGCGATAATAAGGCAACTAGAGGGACAGTTGTTAATGCTGGAAATGGAAGCGCCTTCGGGTATAAGACCACCTCCCTACTACTACTAGCACGCTGCTGAAACCCCTTTTATCAAGGTACAGCCATGGCGGCCCCTCAACATTTCCAGTCCTCTGTTTGAAATCGATTGAAGCGTTGAAATTGATATTCTTTTTCTGAATTGTCCTAGTTGTCTCCCAAGGATGCAAACAAAACTGAAGGAACTAAGAAAAATGCGGTGACCTTCGTAGACCACACCTCCAAGCAGAACAACGCTTCACTTGTGCGCGCCAGCAAGATTACAGACGTGGATCTCCGTCCGCAGGAGGGCATTATATGTCACCTTTGCGGAGAGGGGCCGATGGAGAATGATAATGAGTTATCTCAGCATCTGGAACACTTACATTATAGTGCCTACAAGGAGAGGTTCGATCGTTTCCGACGTCGAGGTCTGCTGGGTGGCATTATTGACCCATTGAAAACCTGCTTCCAGTGTTATAGAGTTTTTGACTCATTTTTGGCTCTTCAAGTGAGTTCATGCCCAAGTTTTTTTCGTGCATTGAATTGTCAAAAGTTGCATGTTGGGAATACACGAGAGAGTAAACCTGATTATTATTGCAACTGCGTAATAATCTACACACCTTTCTCATGTCACCGATAATACTGGAAGGGAGTTTTGCCCCAGGATAAAAAAATCTCACTAAGATGCAATTATGGAAACCACCAGTATTGCAGTGTACATGACGCTAAATTCCAGGAAGGGCCTCTATTTCCGTGTTTTCACCCTAAGCCAACTCCTAACTCTGACTCGATTCGGCCCGAGAATGGGAACCCCATAATACGGATGATCTTGCGCTAAATGATACGGAGATTCTAGTTAGGGTTAGGATGAAGGATGGTGTCAGGGTTGGGCTTAGGACGCAGCAATAAGCACACTCCCTGAAATGAAGCACAAAGTTACCTGCACTATTACTGTGTCCAACCCATATCTTTATAAAGAATTCCCGGCCTTGATACAGGGTCGATATCTGTCGACTGCTTCATGGCTGGCGTTTTGCATTGCACACGAAAAAGTTAAGGTTCAACTGTCGTCTTCAATTTGGATTTATGATTGTGCACAAAACTAACTTCGTAACAGATTCCTAGTCATGCAAAATTTGAGATCATCCAGAAACCATATTATTGATTACTTTTAACTATTCTGCATGCACACCTTCATAATTTTGCCTGAGTACTGATAAATATTACTGACCACGACAAGGGGGACTGCAGCGGCTTCTGTTGTTGATTTTTGCGTTTTCAGTCAGGAGTTTTTGCAGCCTCAGTCAGATCCAGCCGATTATTGAGTAACACACTGACACTATGTCGGCCGCTCGGGACTATTTTATTTTATGGAAGTAGTGTGAACCAGTTTGTACCGATTGCAGAACGGAGCACAGACTTTCCGTTTTGCCCAAGAATTCTACCTCATGACTCCGGTAGGCGGTGTCGTGGGGGATAGTTATTAATAACTGTCGTGCTCTATGGAGACTATGTAGACTTATCGCAGGGAGTTGAGCAAGCTAAACCTTAGCAGCTGCGATCTTCAGACCATGGTTACTTAGTGGAGGAGAAGTTTTGGGAAGGCCAGAATAGAAGGAACAGTATATTGTGTACACAGAGGAACGAGGAATAATGGGGAAAAAGATTGACTACAGAGAGCACGACTTTCCGCTGGAGAGGCGTGATCCAAAGTGCGGCATAGTTGCAGGAAATCCCCGTGGCCCAGAGAGCAAGCGTTCACGCATGCAGGCTTGCTATTCGTCGCCGGCCCAGAAGGCATCTATGCGGCAACTGTAATTGGCTATTTCTAGACGTCGAGGTCAACGGCTGCGTGACTTTAGGAAAGTTCACTTCGACGCGAGCTAGCCACAACAGACTGAACGCCCGCATCTCGGCCTGCAATCTTGAAAGATCAATGAAGGGTACTCCTAGTCTGAGGGAAACGTTTTGTGCGGGCCCTACAACCGGTCACGGTCGAGATGCGTGGAACCATATGAGGGACCAAATGACGGTTTGGCAGACCCTATTAGGGCTGCGCATCCACAAAAAATGCTACACAGTGGATGTGGTGTGGCACGCCTAGGCGCAAACACATGTCACGCCAACCACCTGCACCCAATTCTCGCACCAGACAGCGGATCGGCTCGAATAGTGGACTAGTACCTCGGACGTTCTAAGAGTGGTTCGATTCGGCTCTGGGAC